AGACACAATCGTAGGAGAATGAAATATTATAGCAAAGGTAATAATTTTCACTAACATGAACAATGGTTTTTCAGGAATATGAATGCATCGACAAGTGAAGTCCTTGACTTTTTCTCATAGTTACTTAAATTTACATAGGAAGTAAAGCTAGTCTTTATTGTAACAATAGTATCATTTGAAAAAGCAAAATAAAAAACCATAATTCAACAATAATTAAGCTTGTATACAACCCATACTTAATTTGGTTGGCATAGATCCTTATAAGTGGCAGTTTTTTCGATACAATCTAGCAATACAAAATGTCTGAAGGCTTAGGTTAATTGTATACACATGTAGGATAGACAAAGAGCAAGTATAGACAGCTCTCACGTCCACAGAGCGAGGCTTCCTAATTTAATCAACACCGCCTCTTAAAACTCAGCAACACGTGGAAATCCGCCAAAAAACTGACTGGCAAGGCCTACTTTACCGCTTCCTACAAAACTGTAGTTACTTACATATAATATCATAAAGATTTGGCAAAAGGATACAGACTCTGAAAGAAGTAGGGAGGCTTATTTTATACGTAGTGTAAATATTAGCAAGCATGTACCAAATTAGTGGGCTTCAAGACTGTCAGTAGATATTATTGTAAGGAATCGAGCTGTGTCAGGTCACTTAAGGTGATGGAAGAAATGAAAATTAAGTCGCTAATCTGGCTGAAGGTGCTGATGTGACCAAGGTTGCAAAAACAATTTCTGACGGCTAGCTGTTAGCGAGAGCTTTTTTAGCAACCATTTCATGGAAATTAGTCTATTGTGTGAATATTTGGTTTCTATTAGTGAGTTGTAGACAATATTTATTTGAACAAGCAGAAGACAGCAGTTTCCCAGAAGAAATCTCTCCCGAAGCACTAGTAGTATAATTTTGTCTGATTCGATCTAACAGTTTTAGCTTATTCAATCCAGTACTTTCCTAGGAAGAGAGAGTTATTTTCCTGAAAACACTCGTTTAAACGAATGATCAAGACACCGGGAGAACATAAAAGGAGCCGACTGGTTGTATTGCTTCTGTTCATAAGTGAGACAATTTAAAACGGCACAAAACTAAGTTTCAATAGTTTGAAAGTGTTAGGTATCATGCCCATCTTTTGAATTTTGGGATCCTCTTTGTGTAAGTTTCCCTTCAACAACCTAGCCTCCCTCATGAATAGGATTAGTTTAGAGTAAATATAAACAATTGTTATTATTTTTAAATAAAACAGATGAGAGAAATATGCATACTCGCCAAAAAATCTAAAGAATGCTGCTGCTTTTCACCCAAAAATTAAAAAACCTAGGGTCAAGGAACAAAAGTTGGTAATCAAAGTAGTTTACGACAGTCAAATGACTCAATATAACATGGCACTTGCAATCCAGTCAATATTCAAATTCTGCAAACGGAGATAAATAATAAAATTCTTTGTACATACAATGCCAATAAATTTATAAAAATACAAATAGAACATCGTGATACAAAAGTTAAGTATAATAATAAAATTTGTGCAAACCTTGGTAGAAGGAAAATCCTCAGCAGTCTTGAAGACTAAGTCGAGAGAACCAAGGAATCCGCTTGCATCAGCGAAGATAAGTTTGTTTGAGGCACCCGGAAGCCAGCATATGGAAGAAATAGCAATATCAGCAGTGCTGCGTACTCTAAATAGTAAATAGCAAATAAATTCGTAGTATAAAAGGCACACTCTTACGCAAACAAAAGAAATGCAAGATAACTATTGAAGATGGTCACAAGAAGTAATCAAAAGCAAAAAATAAAATAATTTTGAGATGTAAAGAAAAGAGTGAGATTAGTAAAATAAACGAATCATATATAATATTATTAAAAATTACTAAACAAGAGCTCAGACCATTAAGAAAAGGATAAAATTACCGAGCCACAACTTCCCTGCGAGCATGCCTCCAAACAACGATCCACCCGTTCGCTGAGCTGGCAGCCAAAAAGGACCCAGCGTGACTATTATCACAAAATGCACAGTCTATAATTGGAAGCTCAATGACTGGACAAGTTAGGCAACAGAGAACATCCCAAGTATCTCGTTCGTATAGGCGTATTTCTTTATCGATAGGAACGGCTAGAAACTATATACATGTTTAGAAGACAAGCAAAAGTTTGAAGAACAAAATATCAACCAAAAAGGCTTGCCTTTCCATCGGAAGGTTCCCAACAAATGCGGCAAGGTGATTCAGCAGTAGGAGCATCATTGTACTTAGGTAGGGCTTTTATTGATTTTAGTTCTTGCTTATCAGCAATGCGCCAAACCTTGACAGTTCCATCACCAGAAGAGGACGCAATCAAAAGATCCAAAGGATCAAAGGATACACTAAGAACAGGACCTTGATGACCCTCGAACCGGTATTCCCTCGTCATATCGCTATTAGCCATAAAGTCCACTATTTTGATCGTAAAATCACTTTAAGAAATAATTGTGATTTGTCATACCTGCTTCCAGCCACAAGTTTTGACTTATCTTTATTCAAAGCTAGGTGATTTACCCCAGCCGTAAATCTTGTGGCCATACCATCAGGTAGCCCATCGCTTATCTGTTGTATTTGAACATAGGTGCCTTCTGTTGCTAAAATCAAATTATCCCCCTAACAATTAAAGTACAAAAGCTAACCCTAACAACAAGGGAGTTAATGCGTTCTCCGATAATATGTTCCATAGGACATGGGTCGTTCAAAGTAGAAAAAACTTTTATCTTCCCGTCAGAACCCGCAGATATGATTTGCCTTGATATAAAATAATAAATTCCAATTACGAGCCATCTTCAGAGTATAAAACTAAAGTTCTGCCAACTTTATGTCGGTTAACATAACAAGTAACTTTGGACATCCTAAGGGCTATGGATAGCGAAATGCCCAGAAAAATCAGACAAGCAATAATTTCGTGGATTCCATAACTTGACGTAAATTTTATAAAATAATGCCTTTTTCTTATAACAATAAAAAAATATAAAATGTTGTTTGATGATTCTTAAGGTAGTGGCGCATTGCTGGTATGGCCTTGGACAGCACTGCTGTTGTTGATGCGTTGCCCTATTTCGATAAGGGTTACGATGAACCA